GTGTGCATGAGGCAGAGGGTAGGATGGGAAACGCAGGACCCCCCTGGAGCCGTGCCCATCAGACAGAGGTGCAGGCTGGAAGTGACTGGCATGGCAGGCTGCCCAAGAACAGCTGGTTGCCGGCCTTCAGGGAGAGTGCCATCCAGCCCTGACTAGGGTGGTGAGGCCAAAGCCTGTGTGGACATTGCTCCCCGTCTCCCTGCAGGGGCTCCTAGGGGCTCCTTGCCTGCTGGTCTCTCTTTAGCTCCTCTCTGAGCCCACCTTCCCTACCTCAATTGCACATTCATACCACAGGCATTTGCAGGCTCCGCTCTGGGCCAGGCCTCATGCTGGGCGCGATAGGGCAGACATGAGGCCTGCATGCAAGTAAGATACAGACGAATACCTGCAGGGAAATCTCTGTGAAAGGGGCAGCCGCGGGGCTCCTGGAGGTGTCCCCCGTCCCCGGGTGCACGTGTAGACAGAGCATTGAAAGGTCAGCAGGCTGCTCACCCATTCTGGAAGGACCCTGTCACACGGGGCTCATTGCAAACTCCTGCCCCTTGTGGCTCCTTCCTTTGACCCCTAGAGCACACCCCAGGAAGGGCCTGGCTTGGGCAGCTCCAAGACCTCTCAGCCCCCATCAAGGGCCGTGCCAAAGCCTCTGTAGCTGCCTCAGCCCCCAGGATAGCCCTCCCAGCTCCTTCCCAGGGATAATTGGACTTTTCCTTTCTAGGGCAGAAGGTGGGGATAGTGCTGGCTTCTTTCCAGTTCCCAGGCCAGGTTCCAGGATCCCAGTCTTCAGCTGACCCAGCTGAAATTGTGACTTCCCCTCTGCACCTTCTCTCCTTGGTGACAATGTCAGGCTGCAGTGCAGGCCCCGTGGGCCATGGTGAAGGCTTCAGTCAGGTGGGGTGAGGGTCACTGGACCGTGGACCTCCTTTACATGGAGCCTGCCTCCATGTCCTCATTGCCCTGTCACAGACTGCACGGTGAGGACTCACAGCGCCTTCACTGGTCCACTCACTGTTGTGTATGTGAATTAACACCAGTGGATGTGTTCTGGATGCACGTTTCTCCCTTGACCTTTTAGTTATCCACCATCTCTTAGGGCTCACTGCACGTCCATCTGTGTTGAAATGCCGCATTCTTGACAGCAGCACAAATTCCCACTATGTGGATGGACTGTCACTTAGGTAACCAGTTTCCCTACTGATGGACATTTATGTTGCTTTTAGTTTATAAGAATGCGCGTTCATCATTTAGGCTATTTACCAATGGTTCTTCACATAGAAACTTTGAAACTCCGCTGTCCCAACTAAGGCTCTTTCCCCAGCCAACTCTCCCTGCAACCTGCTTAACTGCATTCTGCTCAGTCTTTCTATTGCAAAAGGCATGAAGCCCGAAGATCTCTGCTGGTGCAGTAATGCTTTCAGCAAGCAAGGATGTGTTGTATAGTATCACGACACATTTCCCTTTACAAGGCTAGGAACAAATAAGACCTTCCCGGGTTAGGGCCACCTGGCATGCGGGGGTGAGGTGCCTTCCTGGCATAATTACAGGAGAATTTATTTCAGCAACAGGTGTGCGCTCGGCTGCTTTCCCAGGGACAGCTCTTGACCCAGTTTTACCCTGGGAACCACCTCAAGAGAGCCCTGTGGTATGGCACTGCAGTCACCACAGAACAGCAGCCCTGGTCTTCAGCGTTTGGGGGTGCTCAGGCTCTGCATGCTGTCTGTGCTTCCGTTTCGTTTGGACACTTGAGGTGCAGCTGTCCTGCCTGGAAGCCAGTTTTGCCTGTGCTTGTCTCATGGTTGCAGGGGGCAGAGAAGGGCAGCTTAGCTGGAGTTCTCGGCAAGCACTGCTTTGCGGATTGGGAATCTCATGCCAAGAGGTGTTTGCATCCAGGGGCCAGGTCCCACTCCTAGACACCAAGACCTTCTGGTGGCAGCACTAGTTAGAGGATGTTTCGCTGCAGCTGCTCCCTGCCCCAGGCCCAGCCATCCAGCCTGGGGCATGTGGGGCACTGGCACACTGTCTAACTCATCACCGTCTGGACAGCGGCGGCTCCCAGGCCAGGCGGCACCATGCTGTCCATGACGTACAGTGAGAGTCTGCGGAGCGTGAGCAGCAGGTGCCACTCTGAATGGGCCCTGCACCCCGTCCGCCAGACTGACATGCTGGAACTGCAGCGGCTGCGGGAGGTGCGGGCAGCAGCCCAGGCCAGGAACATGGAGAGCTTCCTCCGCATGCACGGCCTCTCCCTGGACGGCTGCACCGCCCAGCGCACAGGCATGAAGTATCGGTAAGGGCCAGGCAAGGGGGTGGGGTGGGAAATCTGATTTCAGCCACTTAAAAACATATAAAAAGGCCCGGCACAGGGGCTCACGCCTGTAATCCCAGCACTTTGGGAGGCTGAGGCAGGTAGATCAGGAGTTTGAGACCAGCCTGGCCAACATGGTGAAACCCTATCTCTACTGAAAATACAAAAATTAGCTGGACTTGGTAGTACAGGCCTGTAGTCCCAGCTACTCAAGAGGCTGAGGCAGGAGGCAGGAAAAATGTTTGAACTCGGGACGCTGAGGTTGCAGTGAGCCAGGATCACACCACTGCACTCCAGCCTGGGTGACGGGAGTGAGATGCTGTCTCAACAGCATCAAAATGTATAAAAGAAGAAAATGAGGCCAGGCACAGTGGCTCATGCCTGTAATCCCAACACTTTGGGAGGCCGAGGTGGGTGGATTGCTTGAGCCCAGGAGTTCGAGACCAGCCTAGGCAACATGACAAAACCCGTCTCTACCCTAAAATATAAAGAAATTAGCTGGGCGTGGTGACATGCACCTGTAGTCCCAGCTACTTGAGAGGTGAAGGTGGGAGGATGACCTGAGCCCAAAGACATTGAGGCTTCAGTAAGCTGTGATTGCACCACTGCATTACGGCCTGAGCAACAAAGTGAAAAATGAGACCTGTCTCAATAAAATTAAATAAAAAGTGCCATAATCCTATCCTATCAAAAGATAAGCCCTATTAAGAGTTTGGGGGCAGGCGCAATGGCTCACACCTGTAATCCCAGCACTTTGGGAGGCTGAGGTAAGCTGATCACTTGAGGTCAGGAGTTTGAGACCAGCCTGGCCAACATGGTGTAACCCCATCTCTACTAAAAATACAAAAATGAGGCAGTCATAGTGCTGTGCGCCTTTAGTCCCAGCTACTCGGGAGGCTGAGGCAGGACGATTGCTTGAACCCAGCAGACAAATGTTGCAGTGAGCTGAGATCGCACCACTGCACTCCAGCCTGGGTGACAGATCGAGATTCTGTCGCACAAAAAAAAGAGAGTTTGGTAAATTCTCCATGGAATAAAAATATGTAGGAGGTGTTTCTCCATGGGAAAAAAATGTGTTTCTGGGTGTTGGAGACCCTACTCTAAATAATAGGCACCTAGGTCTGAATTTTCTTGGAACCTCCAAAGGACATTCTTTTTAGTGCTCGCGTCTTTGAATTCAGCACCTCGGACAGCGCTCTGCTAGTCACGGTTCTCTGGCTGTTTTTCTTTTATAAATCCCTGTAGATTGCAAATTGACGGCTTTATCTTCTGTGGTTCAGGAACAAGCCCTTGTGAGAGCCAGTCAGCCAAAGGGCACCCTCCCTACCCAGTCCTTGTAGAGTTGCCAGTTACATTTGAATTTCAGGTAAACAACAAATAGCTTTTTAGTATAAATAGGTTCCTTGCAATATTTGGGACATATTTATATTAAAAAGTTCCTCATTGTTTATCTGAACTTCAGATGTAACTGGGCATCCTGTGTTTCATCTGGCAACCCTAAATCTCTGGCTTCCGTCTGAGAAAGGCCCCTGGGATTATCTGCATGCTCTCTGCAGAGTGGAGTGGAGGCCAGGACTGCTCCTTTCATGTTTTCTCCTGTGCACAGTGTGTTTGGTCCTTCAGCCCATTGTTTGAGTGTGTGGTTGTTAATTTAAAGAAACAAAACACTTCTGACTGGGCGTGGTGGCTCACGCCTGTAATTCCAGCACTTTGGGAGGCGCAGGATGGCAGATCACCTGGTCAGGTGTTCCGAACAGACTGACCAACCTGGTGAAACTCCATCTCTAAAAATAAATAAATAAATAAATAAACATTTTTAAAATAAAGAAAACACTTCTCCTGTGAGTCCATTAGATGGCAGAGTTTTTCAGGCTTTGTATTCTAAATCCAGCTGTAAAGGAAGGACAAAGGGTCTGCTAGTTTGGCCACAGCTGACCTCCTCGTTCTGCTGGAAATTTCTTAAGAAGGAGACGCTGTGCATTCATGAGGGGCTAGTCATTGATGCCTTTTGTTTATTCAGTAAATGTGTGTTGAGAGTCTACTTGGCACCAGGCACTGGGCCAGATCCTGGGGCTGCTACACAAACAAAATCAACCAGGTCTCCACCCTCATGGCAGCCATGGCTGGGGGTGGGGTAGGGGGGCAGAGAAGCACGGAGCACCCACGGAGACAAGTTCCAACAATGGCCACTGGCCAAGGCAGCAAAGCAGGACAATGCAATAGAGAGAGACCAAGGAGGTTAAGGGGGAGCCCTCTGAGAGAGGGGTCGTCTGAAGATGTGGAGAACATTCTCTTGGAGAACATTCCAAGAGAAGAGGGGTCTGGAATGGACCCCCTCTGTGTTTCAGGAGCTAAAAGAAGGCCCAGGTGGCTGCGCTGGAGGCAGGAAGGTAGAGGACACGAGGTGATGAGGCAGGGAGGGGCCAGACCCCATTCTCTAAACGTTGGGAAAACCTCAGCTTCCTCCGATGTGGACAGGATTTGTGATGGAGGAGAGTTTAGTGGGTTGAATCAAGACTCACAAATTTCACATTCATCCTAAGCCTCAGAATGTGACATTAGGCTGGGTTTGGTAGCTCACGCCTATAATCCCAGCACTTTGGGAGGCAGCCTGAGTAGCATGGCGAAACCCCATCTCTAAAAACAATCAAAAAATTAGCCAGGCATAGTGACACATGCCTGTGGTTCCAGCTACACAGGAGGCTGAGGTGGGAGAATCACCTGAGCCCAGGACTTCAAGGCGGCAGTGGGCCCTGTTTGTGCCACTGCACTCCAGCCTCTGGAAAATACTCCAGAGGCATTTTCCATTTTACATCTGCCATGCAGAAAAGGGGGTGCCATGCAGAGAGTGGCCTCTGGTCCTTTTGTTACTTGAGCATGTAAAGTTGGCATTTTCCTTTTGACTTAGTTTTAGGAAGTCGGTGGGAATTGGCAGCAGAGTGAGACTCTGTTTCAAAAAAAAAAAAAGAATGTGACATTATTTAGAAATATGGTCATTGATATAATTAGTTAAGACGGGGCAATGGGGCCGTATGAGATTAGAATGGACCCTAAATGCTATAATTGGTGTCCTTATAAGAAGGTTGTGTGAGCCGGGCGCGGTGGCTCAAGCCTGTAATCCCAGCACTTTGGGAGGCCGAGGCGGGTGGATCACGAGGTCGAGAGATCGAGACCATCCTGGTCAACACGGTGAAACCCCGTCTCTACTAAAAATACAAAAAATTAGCTGGGCATGGTGGCGCGTGCCTGTAATCCCAGCTACTCAGGAGGCTGAGGCAGGAGAATTGCCTGAACCCAGGAGGCGGAGGTTGCGGTGAGCCGAGATCGCGCCATTGCACTCCAGCCTGGGTAACAAAAGCGAAACTCCGTCTCAAAAAAATAAAAAAAAAAAAGGTTGCCGGGCGCGGTGGCTCAAGCCTGTAATCCCAGCACTGTGGGAGGCCGAGGCGGGTGGATCACGAGGTCGAGAGATCGAGACCATCCTGGTCAACACGGTGAAACCCCGTCTCTACTAAAAATACAAAAAATTAGCTGGGCATGGTGGCGCGTGCCTGTAATCCCAGCTACTCAGGAGGC